CATTAAAGACGGCCATGGGCAGGAGGAATGCCAGAGATCGTGGAGAGGACAACATCATTGAGGATTTTTGCTAAAACGCATTTCATTAACCTGCTGCAGTGCAGAGCCACAGCCGGGCCCAACTGGCCCCACTATATGAGAAGTTATGAGCGAACGTGAGGCGCAGCATGATGCAGAGCCCGATGGATGCCAGCTCTGGTGTAATTTTTGGCCAGCCAGTTGGCCGTCCAGCCAGCCATTTCTAAGATTATGAAAAGTGGCTCTCGCCGTTGCGTATGCTCGCATCTTCAAAGGCTCAAATGCAGCCAGCCAGTTCTGCAATCGGGCTGCGACGATCTGCGGCGCAGAGACGCCAACCAAAGAGCCTTAGCCTAAGTGCAATGCTCAGCATGTGCAGTCGTCGTTGCCCAAAACACGAGTCTCGGCCAGCCATTTATTGGGCATTTTAAGGGCTTCAAAGTGGGTGTCTCTGTATGTGTGTGTGTGTGTGTGTGTTTCGCTCAAATGTTCTTCATGCTGCTATGCCATGTGTGTGTGTGAGTGTGTGCGTGTGTGTGTGCGTGCTCTATAGGTGGTCATTATCACGACTTCGCGTCCTATGGGCTTAGGCTGCGCTGCATCGTTTGCTGCAGATAGCTAAAAATGATGGAACGATGCAATCTCTCAGGCATTTAAGGAATTCTATGAGCAGCTTCAGATTTACACTGAAAGTATTAGAATTTTAAGGTATTACTTATATGTACAATATGATTAATATATTAATAAACTGAGCATATGAAAATATAAAGTATTTGCATTAACTAAATCACTCATACGCCATGTAAACTAGAAATATTTTGCTTACTTGCATCGAAATTTAGTAGCCAAACGCCTCTCACAATTATTTCTACCCAACTTTTTGTAGAGTAGCGAACGAATGTTGAGTGTTTTTTTTTGCTGTTGCTAAAAATCTCAGCAGCAGCAGCCACAACCACAGCCAGTAGGACCAGCAGCTGCGGCCAACCACATTTTCAACTGCTGTTCTACTTAATTTGCCGCTGCGTGCGTTGCCGATTTGGATGAGGATGCACCACCATCGCTACGCCACCGCCGGCAGTGAGACAGCAAGACAGCGAGACAGCGAGACTGCGAGAGACAGGGCTCCCACTCTCGCTCCGCTCAGGTCACCAGCGCTGCAGCACCACCGAGCATCATCTGCTGACCAGAGCTACAACAACAATTACCACATTACCGACGCGCCGTTGACTGAGTGACTGAGTAGAAGGATGAGGACGTTGAGGGCGTCGTGACGCGGTGGTGCTGGTGGTGGTGCTGTTGCTGGTGGCGGTGCCCAAGTGACTTCTGCGCCACTTTTGCGGGGCCGCGGCTCGGTTTTACTTATTTGATTTGTTTATGCAGATTAAATGCAAACGATCTTGATAATGACATTAACCGACAGAAGAAGAAGACGACAGCGTCAGGGACACGAAATGAGAGACGTTTCGAACTGGGACTGAAACTGCGACTGCGACTGCAACTGCGACTGCGACTGTGGCTGTGACTGTGGCTGGGACTCTGTGTTGTCTGGATTGTTAACTTGACAGCTTTTGAAGGCAGTTTCGTGAGCCTCGCACCGCAATCGTCATGAAACGCGGCAGGAGCACCGGCTGAAGGCGGGCGGGCGGTCGGTTGGGCCTGCCGCTGCTTTGGGCTGACCCAGCGCCGTTTTTGGTCAATGTGCTTAAAATGAATGCCCCGAAACCGAAACGCGTCTGAGCTTTAGCTCCTCTCACCGTCTCTCGCCAGCGCTCCAATAGCTTGTAGCCTAATTAGCTGAAAACGGATTACGCTGGCCGGCAGACAACAACTTGGAGTGCGGCTCCACTGGCCAGTCGAGTCGAGCGCCTGTCGGCCCCAATAAGCCAAACGTCGCTGCTCATTAAACTCTTACACCTTGCCAGCTGATACGGATACCGTTGGCCATATTAAATGCAAAACCGAAGTTCGTAAAATCACAGACTCTTCAAAATATTGCTGATGTCATAAACAAAATGCTCAACGAGCTTTACAGCACAATTAACATTAAGCATTCGAGCACTTGGCTTTACTCTGCTGCTCAACGGCGTTTTGGCTGAGCGTTAAAAATCGCCATAAAATTGCCAACAGGAGAAAAAAATAACGCCGCTTTAAATTGCGGACTTCATAAATTCGTTGGCTAAAAATGATTTAAAAAAAAAAGGAATAAAAAGCGAGCCAAAAAACTGACTGCCTACCATATTTTTATGCTTGACGCATGCGCAAGCTGCTTCCGTGGCGTGTGTGTTTTTATGTGTGTGTGTGTGTGAGTGTGTGCGTGTTTTTTTTTTCAGCTCAGTTTCTATTGGTGCGATCCATCGATCCAATACCCGAACCGAGTTGCCTGCTGCATTATCATTTAGCGACGTTTTTGCGACTTTTCCTTTACATTTCCGGTGCAGAGTCGAAATTAATCAACAGCTTCATGGTTATCGTGCTCAATATCATCAGCGGACTGAGCCGACAGAGTCAGCGACCGCATCATCAGCAGGATTGGAGGAGCGGGTCCAAACACACGCACACACACACACACACTAACACATCGACAAGACTCATCATAATTATCGTCGGCTTCTTTTTTTTCGTAATTCACATGTAGATTTTGAGTGTTTTTTACTTGATTTCTGTTGGCCGCTTCACGCTTAAATAAAAGGATTTCGTTTAAAAGGGACTTTTGACTTAATTATGTGTGCTTCGCTTTGTTTTTGTTTTCCCCATTTTCAATGGCAAAACATAATTATTATTTACTGATATAGATAAAATTTAAATAAATGTTAGTAAATGAAATTCAAATGCGTGAGAGCGCTTTGAAATTGGAAAAAAATGAAAGATCTACATGATGGATTGTAAGCTAGATCTTGAATTAAATTAAAATATAACCAAAATACAAATTAGGTTTTTAGTTATCAACAAAATGTTATAGTTTTTTTTCATCATATTTATTCATCCAGAAAAAGGCAAGACATTTCTCATGGTATTTATATATTGAATTGAGTGCAGCCGTGAGTGATATCCTACCTATATAAGCTATAAGCCTTGCAATCTTAATGCCCGCACAAGAAACGAAAAGCAAAAGGGGGAAGAAAAAACGGCAAAACTTAAAAGTGAAAGCTCCGGGACAAAGTCATTCGAAATCAGCTTAATGCCTGCATTTCATCTTCATCTTAGACACAAACAAACTGCAAACCGACAACTCGCAGTTATTGAAATTCAATGTAAATCTATGGTGATATGTCATACAGGCGTAGAAAATGCACCGAAGACAGGCCACAGCTGAGGCTTGCGGCCTGCGGCTTGAGGCTTGCAGCTAGCGGCTCAGTTGCAGGCTTTGTGGTGCCTGAGTCAGGTGCTCTGCGGCCGGGCCATGCTTCCCACCACAGAGTCAATGCGCATTTCAAAACGAAAGCCAATCGCGCACGTCATCGATATTTTGTAAATGCATTAAATATATGTATTTAATTCGAGTTGGCCAAAACCGAGCCGAACTGCGATGCCGGCGAGCCTGCAACAGGTAACTGCCGCGTTTCGTTCGTGCCTGTCGCAGTTGCATTGCAAAACTTGTCAAACGCAAACGCAATCGATACGAATATCAATCAAATCCAAAGAAAAGAAAACGTTTCAGCTCTAGGCGGAGTTGTGCACTCGAAGATACTCTGTAATAGATGTAGATGATAATAATATGAGATAATTAATTTAAAATATTTACTGTCGATGTTTACTCAGCTCTAGAGAATGGGATCACTTATAAATCAAATGGCGTTACATACCTGTGCTATCAACTATTATACCCAATTTTTTATATTTTCAATTCGGCTACAGGGTATAAAAATAAACCAAAAATCAAACTTCTACTCAAAGCCGTTGACAACCGTAAACAGCGGCAGACAAAACAAAAAAAAACTATTCGAATTCGATAAAGCGAACATTTATGCATATGAAATTTAACAGATCGTAGCGACTTTGACGACATTTGAAAATCCGGAAGCGATAAATATTTTGTGTGTATATAAGCTACCTATTTTTTATTATCTTGGTCTTGATACTCTAATGTGGGCAGAACACTTTTGTGCCATGATAACTGACATTCCAGTCATTCGATGCAACTTTTATTCGTGTCGAGTCTTTGAAATCTCTAATCCTTACTTTAAGAATGGCACCCAAATTCAATGGAAGTTACTTTGATATCTCATTTATGTCAAGGGTATACCTTCGTCGGTGTTCCTTCAGTCGTTCTATCTTGGTTTCTCTTCATTGGCTTGGCCGTAATACACAAAGGAAATTCGTTGAAAATTGTGACTCAGCTGTGTATCGAGGTGTCGTCCGTCGGGGCCCCGAAGAGCTTGTTGGACTTCTTATTGCTGTTATAGCTGGCATTTAGGTGCATTTTATGTGGCTATTTTGTATTTTCATTTATATAAATATTGTAAACGATCTTTGTCTTTGCCTGTGAATGAAGCGGCGGCCCGTGCGACAGGGGCTCAGTATTTGGGTCAGCTCGTTGGCTGTTTTGTGGTTTTCACATTTCATTCGGGCTTTACTCGAATTTTTATTTCTGCTCCGCTGACAATTTTGTTCCCGAAGACTCTGAAGCAGATGCTTCACAAATTAATTATGACAGTTTATTTATTTAATTATTTTAACCAACTTCAAAAAGGGCGCCGACGCCAGCCAAAATCGGAGAATAATTTTGTTGTGACTCAGTTTGGGATTAACTGAACCATCAGCTCCCATTTTCAACGAGCTTGGGCTAAAATATTGTTAGTTGGAAAATGTAATCTTGTTTAAAGTTTAAAACAGATTATTGCATAATTATTGCATAATCGGCTATTAAATGGGGAAAAAATGATGTCCCAATTATAATGTTTAATATCGCTTAAGCGATACATATAATAGTAACGAAACTAAAGTATATGGTTTCCATCGAACAGTCGAAACAAGGTGCAGCTATGAGGCACAAGTTATATATTGTCGGGACTCTTCAACTTTACTTAATACTAAAACTCACCTTGAATGTAAGTTGAAAAATTGTGAAATTTACAATACGGTTTCAATTAAATTACCCTAATTTAGAATGCAGCTGAACTTAAGTTTACGAATGCGGTCTGCACGTCATATAATCAATCGTGGATCACAGTACAAACTTGTAATCTGAAAGCAATCAGTCGAAACAAGACGGTTTTTAATTTTAATGGAACCGTTTTGCATCCTGCTTATGTCATAGATCTTGAAGCCGAGTTCTTTTTGAAAGCAAATGGCTACAAGCCTTGGCTTTATAAGCCACAAATAGATATCTGTCGGTTTGTCGCAAAGCCGTATAATCCAGTTGCAGTGTTGGTTTATAAGGCGCTCAGAAAATTCAGTAATTTTAATCATTCATGTCCGTTTGTGGTAAGTGAAACTCTCAACTATTTGAATAATAATATTATTTATATGATTCGTTTAGGGGGTCCAAACTGTTAGTGGCTTTTACATGCGTTATGAGGAGATGCGTGCTCCCGTGCCATCTGGTGAATACTTGCTGAAAGTCAATTGGTTATTCGACAAACGAATTCAGATATCTACAAATGTCTATTTTCGTGTTCAAGAATAATATTCAACGATGTATAACATGCGGAAAAAACAAATAAAATTTGAGCAATTATTATAAACAGTATTCGATTTTTATTTTCACTAGTTATGGGCATATACATATGTAGATGTAGTATATAGATAATGTAATGATCCACATTAAATATTAAAGTGGAACAGTCAGAGTGTCCGCCGGAAACATGCAATTCGAATTATTATTTATTTTTGGTAGCATACAAAAATAAATAAATATGTATAAATATCAAAGCTCTAGTCGGCGCTGAACGACTAAGAGATACCCGGAATTCTTACGTTAAATAGCTCTATTTAATTTCATTATACGATCTACATATTTGATATATAATTAAATTGTATATGTACATAATAGTTACACAAAGAAAAACTACTTTTCTCAATCAAGTTTTATGTTAAGAATTTTGTTGAAATTTACACCCGATTTAGAAGATTTAAAAATAAATTACAAATTACAAATAATATAATATATGTATGTACACACACTGTAGTTCTTATAAATTTTGATATAGACAGACAGACGGGCGGCTGTTTATACTGATCTAGATTGAAGGATGGTGCCACGCCTTTTTACCTCCCAGCCTGTTACATTAAGTATGTGATTAATATTTTCATTTTTCATTCAGACATCATCGAGCTATGCATTGTAGGTCCTTCAGGTGTGTGCTTGTCTAGCTAATTTCAGTGTTTTCCCTTTCATTTTGTAAATGCCTGACAAACGGGAAGTCGGCTCTGAGGCAATTCGAAAAGCATCATTTTTAATGCACTTATATAATTTTTGTCCAATTGCAACAAAGCGAATGCTAAGCCTGAGCTAAGCAATCTGTCTTCACTGGCGAATCGTATAGAGCTAACGGGCCTCACAGAGACACAATCCATTAGGGGAATGGTTGTTGTTCCGCCCAGCATTTTGGCAAATGCATCGCTAATTGCTGGTTCTGCTCAACTATTTGCACAAACTTTCAGTTTCGCCAGTCACAAAGAAGAAGCAGAAGTCGAGGAAGAAGAAGAAGAAGAAGGCAAGACCATAAACAACATCGACTTGTGACACAAAATGAACCCACAAACTTTCACCTCTGGCAAATATTTTATCATCGTTTCTTTAGGCAATTGTTGAGCACATTGTTTGAGAGTTCATTAAACAAAAGTATTGAAAATGTCATATTTTGAGCACAAGCCGAGCTGCTGAGACGAGCCCTGCAGAGCAGCAACCTGTTGCCCTGGGGGTACTAATTACCCTCGGGTACTCCAAAACAAATTTTCAAGCACATATTTACATGGCGGGGACCAGCCTCCAAAATGCCATGCCAGATAATTTGTATGGCAAAAACAAGCAACTAAATACTAAACACTTTATGCACGATAAACAAAGACTGCCTCTAAAGATGTTGTCGTCTGCTTGGCGGAGTGAAGGACTGGCGTACAGGCAGTGAGGCAGCTAGGCAGTTAGGCAGTTAGGCAGCGGAGCTATCAACATGGTCTCATCAACAATAACAATATCGACGCTTTGGCTTTGGCTGTAGCTTCAGCTGGAGCTTCATTAGCTAGACGAGACGCTCGAGTCGAGTGAAACCTTTTAAAGAGTGAAACCGCGACTGCGAATGCAGTTGACCTCGGCTGGCTGACCCCAGATTGTAACGCCCGCCCAGCTTCTCGTAACTATGTATGGCAAATCAACATGCAACATCAGTAAGTACAACTCACACACACAGTCAGATAAGAGCCCGCGGCCCTAATCTGCTGCTCATCTGGCCCAGGCACTGGCAATGGCACAGACACAAGCCCAGGCTCGGGCTCAGGCTCAGGCCCAGGGCTGGGGCTGGTGCTGGGGCAGGCTAGGCCGTTAGTTGAATTAGCCCGGGCCAGCTACTTACCTTAGCCTTACCTTGACTATCTGAATGATGCATCTCTTAGTTACACATTTTGCTGATTTAATTTTCATGTTGCCAGTGCACTGGCAACACTTCCATCAAGCAGCTGACCAACCCAGGACCAGCTCTCTCACACGGCCCAGCCGCCCCGCCCGCCCCGTTGCCCACAACGTTTCCAGTCAATGTTGCGGCAAAGTGCATAATTGGTTTATTATTTTTATTTTATTTGCTCTACCGCTTCCTGCCATATCGCTCGCATCGCTGAGCAGCGAAACCCCTCTCGACTAGACCCGCTGCTCTGCTCTGCTCCGAGTGGAGCACACCACATCTGTGGGCGCTTTTTGCCCTACCCTATTTTGTCTCTTTGCTGCTCGTGGCACTTGATTTTCATTGAAATCTTCGTCGTCGACATCTGCCTGGCTGCTTGGTTTTTGTCATCTTTGAAGTGTGTCTCGACTCTCCACTCTGCGCGGCTCGGATTGTCTTTTTTTGCCAGCTAGGCGTGATTTACATTTTTTTTTTTTTATAAAATATTTGTGTCTACTTTTGGCTTGTGCACCGACTGAGTTTTCCTTTTTATCGTGCCAAGGTGTGCCATCAATTGAGCCAGAGTTTTTCCGGCTGGTTTTCTATTCGGTTTGTTGCAGCTGTTGGCTGGCTAGGCGAGACCTGGATGGCTAATGTTGGTTGGTGACTAGCCAAGTCCTCAAGAGTGGTGCTTCTTGGTTCAGTACACACAAACCGCTAACCTTGAATTCTGTTGGACTCGACCGAAACGTCGCCAATAGCATTCATTATAACATATTGTTCAGTTGCTTAAACATCTTATTGAGCTTGAACTGAATATGACGATTATCAGACTCTACTTAGACTCAATGATACAATTAATTGCTGTATTAATCATTTTATGAATGTTTAGCTAGTGAGTCAACTAAAATAACAGAGATATGTCTAGCACCCAAGCAGGCATTCGCAGTTTAATTACTGTATCATAATAACCTTGAGTGGTCGCTCGTATGTTTCACACGTCTATTGACCTAGGGCGTATCGCTAAGCCCATAATCAAATAGCCCACACCCCAGTGTGGCCACCCAGTCGCAGCGCTCGATCCAAATTAAACGTAAGCCAATTAAGTACCGGAAACCTGCAAAATTATTGCATTAGACCTTAAGCCCTTAATTAGAGACTGCCGGACAGAGGCGAAAGATTCATGAATGAACGAAAGTGAGGAGCCTTCTTATGTTAAACAGCCTTAGGGATCTCAGGGGCAAGCACCTAAGCTCGGCACATAAATCACACGACGAACAGACGCCGAGCTGAGTCAAAGAGTTTACTTTGAATACAAAATACGAAATACGAAAATCAAAATCAAAATCCTATTTATCAACGATGGCTGGCCGAGCTGCGGTCCCAACAAAATTAACACCCAGCTAATGCCAAATGCCGACAAAAGATGACGAAAACGAGCATCAGCTGAAACCAAATGCCGCTGCCAATCTTCAGTTTGGGGCGCTCAACGCCTCCGATTCTGATACTCTCTGACACCCGAGCCCCGTCGCCCCCTCTCTCTGTATCTCTGTGTCTCGCTGGTCTCACTGTCTGTGTGTCTTGTTAATTGCGTCTAATAAGCAGTTTGGCGTTGTTCTCACAAAACGCCAACGCCACCGCCTTTGCCAGACGGCTGACCATTTCAATGCCCATGATTAAAGTCCTCCACATCATCGACACGGTGTGCTCTGTGTGTGCTGTGTGCTCATTTGAATCTGTGCGAGCTGCCGGCTGTTAATCTCAAGATCAACACATTGTGCAGTTAGCCACGGCAGCGGCTTCATAAAACAAATATCGCTTCGTGTGCGCTAACTAGTCGACTTGCTCATAGCCGTAGCCATCGCCATCGCCATCATCATCACGATCATCATGATCAGCTTGATCATCATCGTTCAAGTCAGAGTCTCTGACTGTTCGGTTTGTTTTGCCTACTCAATTATGTTGGGGCGCAAAAATTCTGCGATTTCTTTTATTTTTATTGATTTTCTTTTTGTCTTATTTTTGTTGTTGTTGGTGTTCAATGCTGTAAATCTGAAAAATCTAATCATGCAATAAATTGGCCAATTGTTTTGCTCTCAGCCAGTTTGGCAGCAGCCGGCTGGTCAGCTGGAAGCAAACAATGGCCGCTGGTGCTGGTCAAAACGCTGGCCTAAGCATCCCATCTGACAATGGGCCTATCTTGCTGTGTTGCCTCTTGTTTGCACATGCTTGATTTATTGTTTTGAGCACTGAATGTCCATAAGCTTGTAATTGATAGTTGGCATTTGTAATTAATACCTGTTCCGAGCGCCTATTTTTAGCTGCTCGTCGTAGGAGTTGAGCATGGCCCATTTGGTAGCAAAGTCAGGCCAAACGGATGCACTTCAGATCAGTTTATTTCTCTTTAATGATATTCGTTTATGATTAAAAGTGAGATTTATAATATGCTCTCTCATTTATTGCTGTATTCAGATTCGTTATCTTTAGATCTCAAATGACTTGTTGGATGACACATAAAACCCTGTCTATAAAATGTTATTCAAATGTGAGGGATAGCGCGGGATTTTAACAGTAAAATGGATTTAATGGCAAACAAAACTGTTTCATATATGTATGTAGTTTATCTTCAGATACTCAAACAGTAGTAGGTATCTTTTCATCAATATATCTGAATTTTCTCGGCTTACTAATCTAAATATTTTATGTTAGCAGACCCACTTCCCTTCTCTGAAGCTGAACGCAAGTGATTTACATTTGGTAGAGCAGCATCCTAACGAGTTTTATTTAAATACCCACATACTTAAAATATTTCCCATAAGAATGCCGCCTAGATTAAAATCTTGTCAGAGTCTTGTTGCACTGGCTGTTCGCTCCATGTAATGCGCTTATGACTAAGCCAAAGTCTAACCTACTTTGAGGGAGCAGAGACGGCCCCACATTTGGCCAAACCCGTTGGCAGCGCCTGTTGCTCCGGCTGAGCGGGGCAGCACGGGTGGGTCGGGCTCTGGAGCCCACAGCGGCGACGACAACTGATTGTCAGCGGTGCAAATATCTTGAAATTGTCTGTCTGCACTTGTTGCATGTTGTGCGA